TTTTGGTACATATTTGTCTAGGGTTTGGTTTGGTTTTGTTTTTTGTTTTTAGACTGATTTTTTTTTTAAATCAGATTTTCAGTTCTGTATTCTCACTGTCAAATAATTTGAATTTAGAGGAATTTCTAGAACAAGTCTATGGACTCACAGTAAGGAGGCCTTTGGCTTTTAACAGTGTCTCTGGGTTTGCTCAACACTTCTTGCCAGGGTAAGGGTAAGGTGCACTCTGAAGAGGGGTTCTCAGGTGTTTATTTTATTTTTTTTTAATTCTAGGAACTCATTTTAATTTTATTCAAGTTTTCAAGCCACAAACCATGCTTAGAATCAGCTCCTCAAAATCCTACTTGGGCACCGGAACGTCTGGTTGTCTGGAAATGGCGCCTTGTTTTCAGCAACTGTACTGGACAGGAAGCTGCCACTGCAGTTAAAATAATTGAGTTTTAAACTGGGTGCGAATTTAAGTGTGCAATGGTGCCCTGAGGAAAACAAACAGTTTCCCTTCTGTTTTTTGGGACTTGGTTACTGGGAAGGGTGGTTGCTCCTCACAGCAGCTACCCGACACTGAGGCAGCTGGAGCTATCCAGGTGTTCGGGTCACGGGGAGGCGGCTTCACGGGGCATCACTGGCTCTGTCAGACAGTGGCTATTTGCCTCTCCCGTAGTTGAAACTTGTCATGACTGCCAATGGCTGCCATCGGAAATGGGAGCCTGGCCGCTGCCCCCTTTGCTTCCTGGAGGGAACTTTGCAGTGCCGTCTCTCATAGGCTTGATGAGCTAACATTACCTCAGCTAATGCTCCCAGCCCTGGGAGCACCTTACAGGCACAGGACAATGGCCCCCAGAGATGTTAAGAGGCTCCGAGCTCTGCTCCCTGTGGCTGGAACTAAGTGGGATAGCGGAGTGAAATCTGATCAGACTGGTGGAGGCCCCACACATGCGCGTGTGCACGTGCGCGTCTGCCTTTCTCTCTCTCACTGCAGCTGCTGGGAGGACATGGGCTGTTACTGGACAGCTTCCTTCCTTCCCTTTCCTATGATTATGTTCAGTGAAGACAGAAGACCTTGGGGATGTGTAGAAGCAATGGGCTAAGCACAGACACTGTGCCAGCTGTCCAGCTGCAGGGGCACTTTCATGCCAGTGCGTGGGACCCTGGAGCCAAGCACAGAGCTTGCCAGGACTGCCTGAAGCAGCATTGAGAATGGAGGGAGATGTGCATGTCAAAACCGAGAGATAGCGTCCCTGGGCGCTCTGGTGGTCAGAAGTGTAAGCAGTGGGCAAAAGTGCCTTCTCTGGGAGTCACAAAGGAAAAGGCCGGCCACCCATCCCAACATAATGTTTAAAGTGATAAGTAATAACGTGAGTGAGAGGGGTTTGCTCACTGCACTAGGAGGAGCAGACAGGTTTGGGGACTCCAGCCTTGTCTTTCGAGTACAGCCATGTGCTTCACGCCTTATTACAGAAGGAACTGGGGTGGGAAGAACAACAAGAAATTTCATAACTAAACAGTCGTGGTCAAGATTGAGGTCTGATTCATCTTTGATCAAAGTGGTTCAAAGAAGTTGCTGCTGCCGTCATCCCAAGAGAAAGTCTCATGAGATGATCACGTCTGCTGGGGTACAGCCTTGCCATAATGGGTACCGTTTCTGGAGAGCATGATTTCAAAATGCTGAAACGCTACAGTGATTCCGCACTGGACCTTAGATTTGCCAACACAGGCCGGCTCCGAGGTCACACATCTACCGGAAGAAGACGCTGTTGGCCACCTCTCCCGTCTACTTGTTTCCCTTACCTGGCCAGGCCCAACGGAGCTTAAGGAGAAAAGCCAGTTAGCTGCTTGATGGTTGGCGCCCTCTGGAAGACCCTCCTGATTCTCTGGGAGGTTCTGGCAGATTGTCCTGCTGAGGCCCCTCCTCCGTCCATGAAGCAGCTTTTCCTTTGCTGGCCTCACCCCACCCCGAAGTACCCTGCAGGCTGCCCCATGGCAGCTCTCCTCTTAGGGTCTGTGATTGACTCATGAACCACTTTGGTATCAGGTAAGGTGGCATCCTAAATTCTGCTGGTAGATAGATAAACTATCTCACAAACAAACCTTGCCTGGAGCAGCCTCTCACCTTGGCCAGTCTCAGGGCAGAAAGCTGTCTGACTTTTCAGATACATTCCTTTGTTCCCTTAGTTTCTCTCCGTGGGCCGAGGGTGGGAGCCAACATCCTCCCCAAGCCTGCCCGTTCAACCTTTGCTTAGAGCAGCAGTCTTCAGCCTGTGGGTTGGGACCCCTTTGGGGGTCAGATGACCCTTTCACAGAGATTGCATATCAGATATCCTGCATATCAGATATTTACATTATAATTCATAACAGTAAAATTACAGTTATGAAGTGGAATGAAATAATTTCATGGTTGGTGTCACCACAGCATGAGGGACTGTGTTAAAGGCTCACAGCATTAGGGAGGTGGAGAACCACTGGTCTAAGAGACTGAGAAGAGCGGGATGCAAAGCTGGGTGGATGACAGGGTTTCTCCCTAACAGTGCCAGCTGCCTGGCTGGCCAGGTGTCCTGACACCGCTGTACACATGACAGTTTTGTTAATGGTACATTTAGGTACTCCTCATTCCCTGGACAGTGAAAAGAGGGAGAAAATATTTTATTAAATGCATTCATTGTGAGGGTATGAACATGCATGTGTGTGTGTGCCATGGCACACGTGCGGAGGTTGGGGACACCTTGAGAGTGTTCTCCTCTTATCATGAGGGTCCTAAGGATCCGACGCAGCTCTCGGGCCTGGCAGCTAGCACCTTACCCACTGGGCCATCTGCCTCGCCCATTGTTTTTGTTCTCTGAAACAGGATCTTGTCTTGTAACCCTGGCTGGCCCCAAACTTGTAATCCCCTGCTTCAGCCTCCTGAGAGCTGCTTTTGCAGCTGGCTGCCTCCGTGCCCAGACTGATACAGTCCTTCACAGAGGGAACACATGACATTTTAGTAGACTTTAGAATAAGGGAGGTGAGTCACCAGGCATGAGCTCTGACCTTAAAGAGAGCATCCTTACATCCCAGCTCTTACATCTGCACCTTAACACCAGTTTACCCTTTGGAGTATTTTACCAATTTTTAGAAATTTCTAGCCAATGAGTTGTTTCTCTAGCACGTTTGATTTTTCCGAGTAGGACACAAATGTGCCCTCCCGTCCTGCTTTTGCTGGTGCAGCTTTATGGGTCTGAAGACTGTCCTGTGTGCAGGGGTGGGAAGCCGTGGTGTTTACTTTATGGGTCTGAAGACTGTCCTGTGTGCAGGGGTGGGAAGCTGTGGTGTTTACTTTATGGGTCTGAAGACTGTCCTGTGTGCAGGGGTGGGAAGCTGTGGTGTTTACTGTCTTCACTGTGTTAGTTTTACCACCATGGAATCTGTGCAGCAATTAAAATGTGATTAGATGTTATAGTACTCGGGATTGACTAGTAAAAGGTTAGTGCAAGTGTGGCACCTACTAGGGTAATGATACGTGTTCTCTTAATCTTAAAAAAAAATAGCTAATACCCCGTTGGGGAGAACACAGTGGAGGAGCGAGGTCGTGAGGCACACCCGGGAGTTAAGTGTCTGGGTGTGGAGAAGCAGTGCCCGGAAACCAGCCTGGACGGTTAAGCTTGAAATGCTCGAGTCTTCAGCCTAGCTGTGGAGGACAGGATGGTGACGTGTGGAGTCATCATTTCGCTCTGTAACACGACAGAAGGGCTGATGAAGACGGGCAAGAAGATGGGCCCAGGGACTCATCTTCTCCATCTTAACTATTTATGAGGAGAAAAATGGACAAGAACGGAAACCAGTAAGCTCTTGCATCTCTGAGAGATGGGAAGCCAACACAGAAATAATCACCACCATCTTCCAGAGTCAAACATGCATTACACGTCTCCCACACGTGTGTGCACTGTGAGCAGCTGTAGAGCATCAGAGTGGTACCCTTTGGACCATGGATGTAGGGCTTGGTTTTGGTCACATGCAGTGTTTTATACTCCCTCAAGGGAAATGCCTACTGAGTAAGATGTAAAGAAGACATTCTGTTGTTGGGAGTTTTACTTAAGGAGACTAAATGCTTCTGTCCCTTTTTCATGCGCACAATATTTCATACCAAAATATAGGAGCTGGGCATGGGCTGAGGCACCAGCGCTGTCAGCCACAGTGGAACTGGCTCTGAGATTTGAGGCATTCAGAATCACACCTGTGGACCCCATCACCATCACAGAATGACCACCTAACTGGTAGCATTTCATCCCCAGAGTCACCCCAGGGAAGAATAACTGCCTGCTCATATCCTGCTGTGTCTTGGAAGTCTGCAGCTGCTGGCTGTCCGTAGAGTTCTTGAAACAATGTGGCAGAGAACCTTAAACTTAAAAACCTTTTCACTTTCACATTCAGGGTTTATTCCTCTAGACAAGAACTGATTTGTTACAGGTTATGCAGGACCTGTAATCCCAACACTCAGGTAGGCTGCAGTGTGATTGCCATAAGCCTGGGTCCAGCCTGGGCTACATAGCAAGACCCTGTCCCAAAATAACAAACAAAAAAGTATCTTATAAAAACCAAAAATGTGTGGGTGGTAGTAGTGCACACCTTTAATCCCAGCACTCAGGAGACAGAGGCAGGCAGATACCTGTGAGTTTGAGACCAGCCTGGTCTACACAGAGAGACCCAACCAAGACAGCCAGAGCTGTTACACAGAGAAACCCTGTCTCCAAAAACAAAAACAAACGACCTAAAATGTGTCAGGAAGTATGGTGCAGCATTCCTATTCGGCGATGACTTGGTCTTACAGGTTTTTATATCCTTACAGAACTCCCTCGCTCTGTGAATGTGGGCCTGGTTTTGTTGACAGTTCGGGTGCCCTTGTCGCACAGATCTCCTGCCGCTGCCTGGTCAGACCCCCGCTGAGTGAGGCCATGACAAGTGGCAGTGTGTGGGATCTTTCACTCTAGATCCTAACGGTTTTTATTCTTGGCATTTTTTTTTTTCAGAGAATATCACTGTGCACATGACTTCCAACCAGACCAGGGAAATTAACAGCAGCACCGTGAAGCCAGTAGTAACTTCAAGACTGCCAAAAACTGTCACAGCTGTCACTTTGAAACCTGCAACTATTGCTAAAACATCAACACCAGAGGTCTCACCACACGCGACTTCCACTGCCTCCAAGTCTACACCCAAAGCAAGTGCTTCCCCAAACTCAACCCACACATCAGCATCGGTGACGACCACAGTCCCCAGTAGTTTAAAGACATCGATAACGAGTATGTATTAAAATGACTTATATTCTCTGTGCTGTAAAATAGTTGTTAAATGCCACGTTAAAGCCAGCATTCCATTCTGCAAAAATACAGAACCTTTATGTGCCTATATTTTCCCTCATCCCCACTTCAGCGCTCTTACAGAGAAATTCAGACTTCAGAGCATGCACTGTTTCAGACTACAGCACGGACATCTGTTTTGTCTCCTTCTAGTAACGGCGACTGTTCATTCTGACAAAAGCAAAGGATCCAGGTTTGACCCCGGCAGCTTTGTTGGAGGAATAGTGTTAACACTGGGGGTCCTGGCTGTGCTCTACATTGGGTGCAAAATGTATTACTCAAGGAGAGGCATCCGGTATCGAAGCATGTAAGTCTGGCCCCTCTACATAGTTATCATGTCCAGTGTTCTCTCCGGGACAGACTTCCGCTGTGCTTGGGTCAGACTTGTGCTCACAAATGAAAACACACCTGGGGTCAAACACTGCTTTACCAACTTTTAACCAACTCCTTTGTTGGCGTTTACCACACATCATAAGTGACATGCCTGGTCTCATCAACCTAGTGACTTGTCCACATGCATATATATATGTGATATATATCAAAGAGTATTTTAGTAAAAGCATAGTTTTTGCTTTAATGACAAAGATACAGACACAAAAGGAAATTCCTCTGCTTAGTTTTCCCTGGTAATAGTAGTTACTGTGAGTACAGACTCTGTAAGCCAGGTGTGGTGTTCCATGACTTGTAATCCTAGCCTTTAAAGTTGCCTAACTTCCTAACTTTACCCTTTATGGGCTAATTTTTTCTCATGTATACATGACCAGATAATGGCTTATGCCCTATGAAAAGTCACAGGGATTTGACTCTGGGCCTATTTGGCAATCTTAACCACTGCAGTATACTGGGTATGCACACGACTTAATGCTGAGCAACAGTAATTAATTTTGATTGTGAAAATAGAGACTGTTCTAACGTCTTCCTTACAAATACTAATTTGACAGTAATTTAAATTTTCTATTACAGTGATGAACATGATGCCATCATTTAAAGCACTCTACTGAGCAAGGAAAGAAGAGAGCCTGCAACCCTATCAATTAGTTTGTTTATATTAGCTTAAAATATTATTTTCTTGGAAGTAGTATAAGAAGCATGCATAAAATGAACAGTGTATTCCATGATATCCAGAAATCCCTCATTACTGAAGGTAAAGGTTGTGGTCTGGGCAGTTCAGTGAATAATTGAAGCAAACAGGTGATTTATCCAGTGATTACATTTACTTTAGAAAGTCCTCGCAAGACAAGTCCTCACAAGACAAGCCCTGTCTTTCGGAGTATGCAGATGGCACTGGTTGTCACTGGGCGGGATCCCGTGCAGCATACAGGGAGGAGCCTGCCGCAACACTGACTTTCACTAAACAGTGACCACGTAAAGAACCTGAGTGCCATTCAGAGCTGGGTGTACCCTAATTCATGCCTCGAGTTCCACAGCTGAGCTACCCAGCTCATCTTAAGAAGACGTCAACATTTTAGGGTTTAGAAGTCAGGCTTGATCTAGAGAGAACTTGCACTCCAATGCAGCCCTCACAACACCATGCTTGTGTTAAGGCCCTGGAGTGCCGTGGAGTGTGGACTCTACTAACCACCTCTTGTCAGCCGTCCGTGTTGCTGTTTCTTCATTTCTGCAGATTTAGGCAAAGCCACGGCGCTGCCTGGGAACCTGTCACACCACTGGGAACGCTGTTCACAGGCACTTGACAGATTGAGTTTCAGTGAACAATTTTTAGGCAATGTAGAGCTGCTTTCCATATATAGAAATTTGTAATGGAATGTAAAATACCTTTTTTTAAAAGTCCCCATTGTATGATTTCCAAATCAGTGTTTAGAAGTCTACATTGACAGCAAAACGCTGTGCTTTCTGAACCAGGGACTGTGAAGCCCCCCAGGCCACTAAACTACAGAGTGGAGATGCTGCATTTTTTACACTGTCAACTTACTCAGATTTGAGAAAATGGCGTTTTTTATTCTAGGCTGTATTTTCGAGTAAATTCCAGCTTCCATGTCCCCAGGCCCACTTCTTACCCTTGGTGTTTCCAGGGAAAGCAGCACCCGGTCCCCCAGTGGCCGTCACCCCAGCAGCCTGTCACTCCAGAAGCCCAGGCTGTCTGCGGCATTTAGTTCTATAGTTTAGATTCCAGGTCAAACTCAGGGTCAAGGCTAACAAAGGAGGTGTTAGTTACAAAATACTAATATATTTCTATTGTAGAGGGCCAAAAAATTACAGCAATTTTTGAAAGTGTAGAAATAAGCCTCAAATGTCCTAATGAGTGCACACCTGTTACAGTTAAAATTAAGTGTAACTTTTGTAATCTGCTGGTTTTCAGAAAATGCAGACTACCAAGAATTTTTTATATAAATAAAATTATTTCTACTTGCTGTGCATTAGGGCCAACTGATGTGGTAAACGTGGAATGCTCAGATCTATTAACAGGGAGAATGGAGGAAATGCTAGGAAATGGAACATGGGGTAGATTAGTTTCAAGTGTGGGCTGATGGAAAGTGAGTGCTTTCTCATTGGCTACTTTCCTTTCTTCAGAATGTAGTTTAGGCTCCTGCGGTGGTGAGGGCTTTTAAGTTGAACTTGTTTCGGTTTGCTGCGCTCTTGGTACTCAGTACCAGCGGGCAGTGTTCTTGAATGCTGTTTCCTTAGCACTTTGAAGGTCCAGACCTCTTCCTGAAGTACTGTCTTTCTTTGCCTCCTAGTCTCCACTGATTTGGGGGTTAAAAGTAATGTTGTTATGTCTTTTCTAATTTGTTGCTTTCAAATACCAGGACTTTTGTTGAAGAGATTTCTTTTTAATCTATCAAAATTGACCACATTTTCGAAGCGTAAATTTGTCTTCCGAGACTGGCTTAAGTGAACAAATGCTCACCTTTCCTAGCTTTCCTAGAGAATGTGTTTGTTAAGATAAAGCAATCCTAGATGTACGTGTGGACACCAGAGCTATTCTGGCTTTAAATTTCACTTCAGTAATTCCATAAAAAGAATAATTCAAAGGAAGAGAAATGAGAGTTGGCAACATATTTTATAGTGTGATAATTTTGTATCTTCAGGGGAAAGACTAGCAAATTCTTGTTACCCTTTTTTCTATAATGACCAATTTTGGTATTTCATTGTTACTAAGATCTATTTTTAGAATAAAATTTGTTCTCCATTCAAAGGTTTTAGTGTTTTGTTGAATGTGCACAGAGGTTCCTATTTTATTTATCCAGTATATAATCTTTTTTTTTTTTTTTTTTTTGGTTTTTCGAGACAGGGTTTCTCTGTGTAGCTTTGTGTCTTTCCTGGATCTCACTCTGAATACAGGCTGGCCTTGAACTCTGCTTCCCGAGTGCTGGGATTAAAGGCATGCACCACCACCACCCAGCTTCCAGTATATAATCTTGATGCATGTACAGTAAAGGTCTGCTTTTACACCTAGGCCAGACCTTGGATAGTTTAGTCTCACAACAAAAATGTCCATTCCTTGGCACAGGCTTTGAAAGTTTGCCATTGGGGTCTCTCATTTCTTCAGTATTCTTGGGTTCAGTTTCTTTTGCAACAGATTATCAGCCATCCGTTTCCACCAGAGGCTGCCACCTCCACAAACACATCACACACCACAAAGCAGCCACTTATTTCACTCCAGAAATCAGAGATGCCATCTCTCCTGCTGACCCTGAACAAACTCGAAACACTCCAAAGCTAAGCTCTGAGGCTGCATAGTACCTACCTCTGCTTCTGACACGGGAGACACCCCAGAACCAGCTTGTTTGCACGTGGACCCTCTAAAGTGGCAGCTCGGCCGTCAGGGATGCTCAGGCCTGGACAGCCAACATCAGTGGTGTCTTAGAAGGCCTCATGCTTGGGGCCCAGGGCCACTGTGTGATGTGCCTGTTTACTAATGCTAGCTCATGCGGTCACCGGAGAGAACACAGACCTCACTTCACCATGCAGCCACCATGGCCATGTGTGTGCCACATGCCCTTGTTCCCAGTTCTTGGCTGCTTCACAGGTGGAACCTAGATACTGTCATGAACTTCTCAGCAGGGGCCTCAGTCCTGAGAACCCATGTTCTAGTCCCTGGAGCCACAGCCTCTCCACGGGCACACTCTTCAGTGCCTTGAAAAGCCTTAGCGATGACCTCTGTGGTGCAGAATGACTCCAGCAGATGTCACAAGTGGACCCACAAAACCCTGAGCCACTCACGTACAGAGCTGCGAGGGCGGGCCCCACAGTGTCTGCCACAACCACCTCGGCCGCTGGCTGTCCTCGCCTGGGCCAGGTCATTGTACCTCTCACCAGCGCCCTCCATCCCAAGTGTGAGTCCTTTGTCCCAAAGCCACCCTAAAGTGACAGTACCACCAAATACAGAGTCCAACAGGAAATGGGAAGTCAAGAAGACGGGAATACCAACCAACCACTTCCAGTAACTAGAGAGCTCCACACTATTAACATATAAAAATAATTCGAGATAATCATTTTAAGGAAGGTTAAACAAGTGACAAAGTGAAAATTGTAATATAATGAAGTGTTAAATCGGCTTTACATTCCTGTAATAAAATAACTTGATACTCAGCCTATAAAAAATGTTTCTTGCCTAAGTGGGGGGAGGGCTGTTCATCCATGATTGATGGCTACTTGCTTGCTCTTGAGCCCATGGTGGGGCAGAGCATCATGGGAACATGTAACAGAGGAAACTGTTTCCATGCTATCTGTGGGCGACTGGATCCAGGACTCCCAAAGCTACCAAAATCTGCTTCAACTCATCGCTAGAGTACTTAGAGAACCTACCTAGCAATGAAGTATATGGTCATCAGAGGAAAAAAGATGTGAAGAAATGAGATCCTACACAGTTTATGAGCCAGCATCACAAGTGAAAATACTGAATACAGTATTAATGGAAGAAAGATTACTTAAAGAAATAATAACTAGAAATGCCCCAAGTCTGAGGGAAGAAATTATTTTAAAAAATCCAGGTACAGAAAGATCCAAAGTCACAACTCCTATTTGATTCAGAATGGGTTACACCGTGACATTGCAGTCAAATTGCCAGGCACGACAGGATCCTGAAGGCAACAGGAAAAAGATGTGCAACCCCACACAAAAGGCTCCAATTTTACCATCAAGACTTCAGTGGAAACCTGACATCCTGGAAGAATGGGGTGGAATGATCTAGTCAATGTTATAAGGGGAAAAACAAAAACCCGACTAAATAGCAAAGCTGTCCTTCAGACTTGCCACAAAAGTGTGGGTGGTGTTCCATTATCACACTACTCAAGGAGGGAGCCTTTCAGAATGGGCTTCAGAAGGATAAGCCTTGCCAGTGACAGCTGCACTGTCAGCCGTATGTGACAAAAGGTACATTGTGACGAGTAATAAAAATGGAAGGTGGGTGGTAAAAGTACAGAGTAGTTTACACAAAGTTGTTAGTTCCTAAAAGAAATAACCACTGGGCTAGGTAACAGCCAATGGGTACATAGAAGATAAATAATAAAGCATACTATCATTGCTGGTACAGAAGATTACCCAGGCACAGGGAGACAGCCAGAGGATTTGCAGGACCTAAATAATAACACAGTTCTTGCCTATGTATACAGGTTCAGTATTTCTGACCTGAAATGCTAGAGAGCAAATGTGTCTCAGATTCTGGACATTGGGATATTTACATATGCAAATGAGGTATCAGGGATAGAACCTGTCTAATCATGTGTGCGCGTGCGTGCACGCGCGCCTTAAACACTAACCAAAAGCTTCTGTGATATTCTTAGTGTGCCTTCATTTTGACTGAACACCATGGAGTCAGATATGGAAATTTCCTCGTGTCACCGGGTCAATGCTCAGGAGTTCCCAATTTTGAAGCATTTCAGGTGTTAAGAGTAGGGGTGACAGCAGGGTGGTGGTAGCATGCACCTCTAATGCCAGTATTCAGGAGACAAAGGCAGGCAGATCCATGAGTTTGAGGCCAACGTGGTCTACAGAGCAAGTTCCAAGACAGCCAAGGCTACACAGAAACTCTATCTCAAAAAACAAAAATACAAAAGAGTGAGGATGATCAACTTTGAATATATTTAACAAATAAATACAAATGAACTAAAACCTCTAATCAAAATCATTGACTGAGCTGGGAGGTGCTCAGTGGGTACACTGGTCTTTGTGTGAGCACCAGAGTTTGGATTCCCAGCACCCACATAAGAGCGAGGGGTGGCAGTACACACCACTAACCCCCATGCTCGGGAGCAGAGACACTGACAGACTGCTGGGGCTTGCTGGCCAGCCACCTAAAAAAGTGGGCTCTAGGTTCAGTGAGAGACCCTGTCTCAAAAAATATATATAAAGTAGTGGAGGATACATCCTAAAGTTAACTTCTGACAGCATACGTGTGCAGATGAACACACACCATTGAATGGATTTATAAAACAATACTCAGGTTTATTACCTGCCTCCTGGCAGGCCTCCATAAGGCTGCCCTAAAACCAGTAAACTATGAAAGACTAAGAATGATAATTCAAGATAAGGACAAAATCCATCTCATTTCTTAGAACGGCTTACTAAGGCCTTTGTTGAATATACTAGCCTAGATCCTGAAAGCCCAGAGGGCAGGCAGCTCCTTGTGACCCACTTTGTCTCACAGAGCTTCCCCAACATAAGGGCAGAACTTAAACACTTGGAGAAAGGCCCTCTGACCCCACAGGCAGAAGTGTTGGCGGTGGCATTTAAGGTGTACCATGGAAGAGATGAAAAAGCCCCCCAAAAAAATTACCAGATGCTGGCACACGCTGTCTGACTGGCTCCCCGGAAGCCGCCTGGTCCCTGTTTCAAGTGCGGGAAAGACAGCCATTGGGCCCAGGCTTGCACCACCGCCCCACGGGGGACACTGATAGGACCTTGCCCAAAATGCTGCCAACAGGGCCACTGGTCAGGTGTAGTTGGAGTTTTCTCCAGGCCTGCTTAGACCTGCAGCCACTCACACCCAAATAAACACACAGGTACTTATATTATTTAAACTGTTAGGCTTAAACGCTCAGGCTTCTTGCTATCTAGTTCTTGTATCATAAACTAACCCATTTCTATTAATCTATAAGTTGCCACATGACTTGTGGCTTACTGGTACCTTACATCTTGCTTATTAGAGCGGCAGCTGGCAGCGTCTCCTGACTCAGCCTTCCACTTTCCAGCCTTCTTTCTCTTTGTCCCGCCTATACTTCCTGCCTGGCTACTGGCCAATCAGCACTTTATTTACTAACCAATCAGAGCAACACATTCAGAGCATACAGAACATCCCACAGCATCAGCCTATTACTATCCAGTTACAGGACCATACCAAATATATCACCCAAGCTCAGTACCCTCTCTCACTCTAGAGCCTAAGAGGACTTAAGCCTATCATTTCTGACCCTCTCAGGAAAAAGCTGCTCTACCCAACCTCTTCACCTTTTAACACTCCCATACTTGCAGTTAAAAAGTCTAATGGAACCTACTGTCAGGTTCAAGACCTCTGGCTCATTAATTCTGCAGTGGCCCCTCTCCATCCTTTAGTGCCTAACCCTTATACTCTCCTGTCCACTGTCCCTTCAGGAATCTCTCAATTCTCAGTTCTAGACCTCAAGGATGCCTTCTTTTCTATTCCTCTCAGTCCTCAGTCTCAAAATATCTTTGCTTTCACCTGGACTGACCCTGACACTCATCTGTCCACCCAGCTGGCCTGGACTGAGTGACTTACCCAAGTGTGTTCTCACAGTCCTTGCTCCCAAGTCCAAGCTTTAGGTGTTGGGAGCTTTGGTGTCCTCATTCCATGCCTTACAAGTGGTAGTTTTTTCACTGGCTGTCTTCACAAGGCTTCTTAGGGTATATGGACTGTGTAGGCCCCTTGAGACAGAGTGGCCAGGGCCCTCCCTCAAGGACCTCCAACTGCCAGGTTCCACCCACAGAACAATCTAACTGCCCTAACAGCTCCACCCAGCCCCCGTCCTACAGAGTAAAAAGCCCAAGCTCTTGACTTGAAATCCAGACCCTGGAAAGCTCCACCCCACACCACCCCTAGGAAACTCTATAAGCCCTACCTTCTGCTCATTCTCTGCTGTTTCTCACCTGAGCAGAGGCAGTCACCCTCTGGGTTTTTCCCTCCCAATAAATCTCTTATGTGAAGTTTGTTGTGTGCTGTGATTTTGTGGTATTCCT